ATATTACAGATAATCAAATATATTATTATGCACATAAAGTGAAATAAAAACTTATTATGCAAATATTGTAAATATCGAATGTATAGATTCAATGAAATTAAGTGCCGCAAACGTTAGTCTAATTAAATCAGTATAAACATTTAACAAAAAATATCTACTTACTGTTACTAGTATCTGAGTCTCAATAGTAATTCGTTATCGTTAATTGTAGTTATTTCAACGTAACATTACTCTTTCCGTTTTTTTAATGCTAAATCTAGATAAGACTAAATAAAAATTTTAGTTTTTAATGCTTTTTGTTAAATTAATGAAATCTTAAGATACGATTAATAAAATTAATTAATTTGATTAATTTGATTTATAAAATCAATATAATTTTATATATTATATTAAATTCAAAGCACAAAAAATTTAGGAAAAAAGATTTTTAAATACTCATATTTTGAAAAAAATTTTGGCTTTTGTTGAATTTATAATTATAGCCCATTTAAACTTTTTTGTATCCTCAATTTTAAAATTTTTAATAAGCGATATCAGTGAGCGCTCACCGACATTTTAATACAATTGGTTCTTGCTTTTAAATCGTCACTAATTCTAAGTACAAATTAACCGAAATAAATAATTATTGAGCGCTGATTGAGTTTTATCTGCTGAATGCTTATAATGTACATGCTACGAATACTGACTAAAAAATAAAAACTGAATATACACGAAAATTTTGTAACAATTAAACTTAAAATATAAAAAGTAAATGACAAAGGTAACTATTAAATTCGTTGCCGTTACCGAAAAAATGTAACTGCGTTACAGTTACGTACGAGACAAAATAGTAACATTTTTACCTAAAAAGTTATCTGTAACAGTAATAATGTTATAAGTAATGCGTTACTTTCCAATCATTAACAAAGAGATAAACATATTCCAAATATCCACTTTTTTACATGCTCGTTATACATGTGTATTTAGTTACTACATAAAGGAAGATAAATAATAAATATAAATTTACCTTTGTAAAGTCTTAAAATTTTTTTTTAATCTTGTGAATGCATATCAGTCTGAAGAAAAAATGTATCCGCCTTATTTTCTCCTACTGACTGATTTACGTTTATGTTATTTTTTGCAGTATTTTCTTCAGGTTTTTCCATTACGCCATGATTAAATAAGTGCTTCACTAAGCAATCTATTCTAAATATGTTACACATAGTATGGCAAAACTTGCATTCAATCATGCGATCACTTGATGGATCAAATTCGAAATGTTGTGATATCCACATTTGTTCTATTTCTTTTTGTATTTTTTTTATTATTTCCGGATGTCGACATATTATGTGATTTTCTAAGTTATACTCCAGATATCCACTCTTTAGAACTTTATCACAAAGCTTACACATTGGAGCATATTTTTTTTCTTCTATGAAATATCGCCATACGAAGCTGCTTCGGTTAACGTCTTCATCATTATCTATTCCATGTTCACGGTACAAGTGCACTTTCATAGGCAAATAATTCCGAGTACTATATATTAAACAAATATTGCATATCTTATGAGTTCCTATTTTAGTACAATATTCGCGTATCCAATTTTCTTCCATATTCGTCTGTTCGGTCGTTATGTCCGCACTGTACCTTAGACCATATGTTACTGAGATGTGACGCTTGTGCCATCAAGAAACGTTCGGCAAAGGTCGGAGAATAATGCGTGAATCTTTCATAGAATGTTATTGTTGACACATTGACCGTGATCCAATGTCCACTACCAGTACTGAAAACCTAAAGGTCACATTACACATACCATAGATTTTTAGTGCTGGCAGTGTATATCGTAACGGTCTACATATGCCTAACATCGCTTTACTTATAATTGTTCAGCTGGCGCAGTAAAAAGTTTAAATTAAAATATACACTTAAAATATGTTCATATAAAAAAAAATAGATTTTTTTCCTTTTTTAAGGCTGACACCATTACGCTATCAATTCGTTAAATGAAACTTATTTATAAATTCTAGGGTTGTACATTTTAAAAGCAATAAATTCAGAAAGCATGTCTAATGTCATAGTCGACACTGCAAATAATTCGTTTAATAAAATTTATTTCAATGGATTTATCCTTCTTATATATTACTACGTTATTTTTTACATTTATTCTGTGATACGTATATATATGCATTTTAAATTGTTAATTCGGAAGTATAACGTACTGCATTTGTGTAAACGTTTTAGAATTATGTTTAATAACTTTATCGAAATAAAAAATGTACGCCAAATATGTACCTCTTAGGATAATATTAAATCCTTTCAATTTCACTTTTTGGCTCTTTTTAGAAGTTTCAATTTAATTTTCGACATACGAAGAGCTAGATAAATAATCGTTAAATCCAGGATTGTGCATCTAGACGTAAAATATAATACTCTACATTTACGTAGACAACTATTGTATAAGTGTAATCTATGTAGACAGTCAATAGATTATATATTTCTTATTTAATAAATACATATAATTTATCGTTTATGTAAAAAAACTACCATTTGAGTAAGAAAAATTCTCTGGTTACATTCTTAATTTTAATCTCGTAGTTAAATTAATATTCAAAATACATCAAGAATATCCTAAAGAAGTTGTGGTATTTTTAGCCTGTTCGCATATAAATCATTTATAGAGAGAGAAATTTTATTTTTCTATTATGTTGTAAGTTATGTTATCTTATTAATTACACTGATCGACATGTGTGTGCGTGCGCTAAAAATTTCCTGAAAAAAGAGAGTGGATTTTCCGTAGATTTTTGAGTGTTGAAAGCTGTCATCGGAATGTGCCTATACGTCACATTTTTGAGAAAAATAAAGTTGAGGTTCTTAAAAAACGCGTTTTTGGCTATTTTTAAAAAATTGTAACGAACAAACCTGACGGTGTTAGAAATTTTTAAACATTATATTCGAGCCTAAGTATCTCCATTATTACAAAATATTTACTTACGCCGTGCAACAACATGTTTTTTATTTGTAGTGCTGTGCGCACGCATTACTACAAACACGTGTTGTGCAGGTACACGGAAAGACCGATTTTGTTAAAAGACCTAAAAATTTTACTAAAAACAGATCTGAAAATAATTTTTTATTGAATTATTAAAATAATTTGTTGGAATGTTAAAACTGATAAGTATTGTTATAAAACGTTTTGATATTCTAGCAATCATTTTGACTTTCGCACAAAATAATTTTGACTATTGAACAAAAATTATTTTCAGATTTGGATTCAGCAAAATTGTTCTTTCCGTGTGAGAATATTTCTTTCAACATATTTTATCATACGATGAATTTCAACACAATGACTCTGGCCGATTTTACGATCGGATAATAAATCTGTTGCTAAAATTTTCGAGTCAGTTTGATATATTCGCACTTGTAATTTTGCTGACATTTAGATGTCACTAATTACCTACATAACCGTAATCACTACTCTTATGAAGTTCAGACGATTATTACGTAACTGTAACGACTGTAGTAATGCGAATCCTAGAATCTCTAACTAAGGTCAACCATGCGACGAAGCATGTACCTGTAAAGGTGATGTGATGGCAGGGCTTGTTGCGCATACTTGCAAATTACAAAGTATTACTTCTCAGTGCTGCCGCATGTTCCGAAGGACGAAACGGACGTTGCTTTATAAATCCGTAATCATTTGATATCACGTACAAACTTTGTTTTTTTAAAAATAGACAAAATATAATTGTTTTAGGCTATATTCATAACCGCATTCCTGTTGAAGAGCTCAGTCAAAATTGGATTCTGTTTTAATAAAACAATATCGAAAATCAATTGAGCAGTTAAAAAATTTACTATTAATAGCAATACCAT